CGGCCACAACCAAACCTGCTTGCGAACCTGATCTAACTTACCAGGTGTGCATCTGTAAAAAGAGAAGAGCAGGAAAGGTTAGTTTCCTCTCATCATTTTGCAGACCATATGCTAATCATCAGAGTGTGGAAAAATCCTGGGAGGAGATCCAAAATAATTTACTTACCACCAGCATGTGACAAATCAACCCTGAAACAGACTTCAGGCTCAGTTTATTTAGCACGTTTCACCATTTTTGTAAGATTTGCACCAGCAATCTTAGATCCAAACCAGCAACACCCCAAGCAATTGCAGCTGTGATTTTGGACTCCTGATTCTGGATTCTAGGTCAGGCTAATCCTTGGCGGTTTTTAAGTAAATTCTACTTTAGCAGACATTAAAATCTGAAAAGAGCTCAAAGGGAGAAAGAAACTGGCATCTGAGTAGAGAATCAGTATCTTTCATTAGGAGCGGCCTCAGTGTGTCATTAAAAAGAACAGAAATCAGAGCTGAACTAACCTCTCAAAGCACTTTCAGTTGCAGAGCTCCATCTCAGTAGTTTACAGCAGAACTCCTGTTGGTTCTGGACTCTTATTAGTAGTTTTAAAGATAGAAATGTTTATTTACTTATTTTTTTTAACTAAAAAGAAGAAAGTCTTTCCAAAACTTTTATCATCTAGGATTTGATTATTTTTTTTAGTAAATATTGCTGTTAACATGTTAAACTGATGACTTTTTCTACATGGATGTTTTTGTAATGCATTTTAAAAAGTGACATTAAAAACCACAAAGATGAGCTTCTTTTTCCATTTATTCATTTAGTTTAGCCTGTTCATAACAAACGTCCAACACAATATCATCAGCATAAAAATAATAAATGTTTTTTCTGCGTAACTTTAAGGCAGGATGCTCCTAAATTCTGGCAAGATTGATCAGGTTGGAGAGCTTCTTTTAGACCGAGTCTAAAGGATCATTTATTGCCATGTAGCAAATCTGTAGCATTCAGATGTTGTTTCTGGGTTAGCCATAAGCTAATCTTGTTAATAACTAAACAGGTTAGCCATAGGCTAATGCTGATCATAACTAAACAGCTTAGCCATAAGCTCATCTTGTTCATAACTAAACAGGTTAGCCATAGGCTAATGCTGTTTAAAACTAAACAGGTTAGCCATAAGCTCATCTTGTTCATAACTAAACAGGTTAGCCATAGGCTAATGCTGTTCAAAACTAAACAGGTTAGCCATAAGCTCATCTTGTTCATAACTAAACAGGTTAGCCATAGGCTAATGCTGTTCAT